CCCTGCTCTGTGCATGACAGGGGGCGGCGCCCCAACTCCCCAATTGGCCCTGCTCTGAGCCTGACCAGGGGCTGCACCTAGGGATTGGGCCTGCCCTCTGCCACCCGGGAGCAGGCCTAAGCCAGCAGGTCATTATCTCCCGAGGGGTCCCAGACTGCGAGAGGGCACAGGCCGGGCTGGGGGGCCCCCCTCCCCCCCTGAGTGCACAAATTTTTGTGCACCGGGCCTCTAGTTAATAAATAATTCATTTGTTCCAGGTGAGGATTTTGCAGCAGTCGAGAGTCAGGGAAGGGGTGGGAGGAGTGCGTTCACTGGGCACAGTGCAGGGATGGCTGGAAGGATGGTGCGGGGCCTGCAGTGCTCCTCACTCAGGGAGCAGGGACTCAGGCTCAGCAAGGCATCATCCAATACAGCAAATCCATGTTATTATTTTAACCTATGAATTTTATAGTTTATTTTTATTTTTTTTACCTGTATTTTAAATTTATTTAAAATATACTTTTATTTATTTTCATTTTAGTATCATAATTCTGTAATAGCTATAAGGTTTACCTGGTTGTATGTTTGAGCATATTTAAGAAAGATTATAATAAAATGGTTATAGCCTATATTAGTTATTAATTTATTTTTAAACATTATAATAAAAATAATTAGATTCCTCCTCTGAGGGATGGTCTGTGGGAAGTATCATTTTTTCCTTTTGTAAAGGTATATTCACTACTCAAGTTTGAGAGACCCTGGTGTGGTATACATATCATTGGGTTTCAGAAAACTTGACTTCAAGTACTAGTTTATTAATGATTTCATAATGGGAAAAGCACATATTTCTGAACCTCTGTTCCTATAAACTGGTGTAATAACTACTTCACAATGTTTCACAGGGAAATTGTGAGGATGGATTAAAATAAATGGAGAACTTTGTAAACTGTTAAGTGCCATATGAACAACCTATGTGCCACTGACTATTACTGTAGCCCATATGTTTCAGCAGGCAGCGAGGAGGCCTGAAGTGTTTGGGGGTTGTGCACAGAGAGATCAAAAGGTCCGGGTGAAGTTGGCTGGCATCATCAGGATGTTGCGAGGATTCACAGAAATCAAATAGGGACAAATTTTGCATCATGAAAGTGTTTTCTCCCTCTTTATTTTCTATTTCATAGACTATCAGGTAAACTTAGTGGTTCAGTGATTGAGCTGCAAGAAGTCACCATTTAAATTCGCAGAGGTCACCTTTCAGCCCAGAGTTCTCCTTAAGCCTCTCCCCGCCCCATGCCCAGGCCCAGGTATCTGTGTGTGCTCACACTGGTGGAAATGTCTGCCTGCGCTCACCTCCTCCAACCCAAAGCCTGGATGTCCGGGGGAGCCCCCAAGCTAGACTGCTTATTTCTTGGATCCTTCCTTGACTTGCCCTGCTCATTTACCTTTGCTAATTTATAAATTCCCATGACACTGCAAGTTTGAATGGTAAAATCTAGCTTTTGATTTTATACGAACCTTTATTTCAGTGGTTAGATTTTAAGGTTTACCAGGCCTGAAATAATGTGCTCTGTTTCCTTCACACACTGCAGTGCTGAGTGGAATAGAGATGCTTTACTGAAGAGTTAGTGAATCTAATTCAATTGGATTGACTTCCCAGGGACAAATGAGATGTACGTCTTCTCCATTGCACCAGCAACTTCTGCGAGAGGGATGAGGTTAGAGAGCTCCCTGGGTAGAGTGGCATCTGAGAAAGGGTCTATGTAGTCCCTTAGGAGTCTCCAAAGTCATCAGATGGGGATGCATTTTGAGCCGTGAATGTTCCTTGGGTACAAGGATACAGGATCGATGGGCACAGTGTTATACAGGATTGGTTATTTCTACAAGAGGCAGAGAGAGACCCATTTGCATGTGAGGAAGGAACAAAGGTGAATGATTTAGATAACAGTGAATGAGCCATGTGATCATTTGTGAGGTTTGGATAGGAGAAGGAAAATGCCTGAATTTGCATTATATTTCCCTAAATGACCTCAATGTTACCAATCTCGGAATTCCTATCTCTTGTGCCAAGAGGAGAATATATTAGGAATTTTTCGGGGCCTTTTAGGGGTAATTCTTATTTGGATAATCTCTAGACCCAGATCACAATAGATAAAAGAATGTGGAGAACGGCCTAAAACAGAAAAACTGTCACAATGTAAAGAAGACACAGTAGGAAACCAAGAGAAGTTTTTTTTTTTTTTAATTATTCCTTCATATTCAAACTTCACAAACAGTGTGAACTTGTACAATACCTCGGAAAGTGAAACTTACAAAAAAAGTGCTGGTAACATTTAAAAAAAACAACAAAAACCCCAAAAAACAAACATCATTCTTAGCAACATCAATTACTCTTCCACACAAAACAGAAACCTTGTAAAATTTATTTTCGTATTTTTAAGGCGTAATACTTCCGTATAAAGTATATGCAAGAGATAAAACTTCACAGTATTCCAAAATGTCACAATAATAATATAATAGTATAATGAAGCGCTACAGTTAATTTTTCTTTTTTTGAATGTTTTTTTTTTCCTGTTTAAATAACAAATACAAGTCACAGGTAAATATACGTGAGAAAAATACGAGGCTAATATTAAATGGCAGGTAAGGATACTGTCACTGTAAGAAAAAACTGGCAGGATGTGTGTATTTAGTCTATATTTTAAAGCACTTGATAGAAAAGGCGTATGCAAGGTTTTTGAAAAACAATTTTGTTTGTTTGATAACTGACAACAATTTAAGAGTATAATGAAGAAAAAAAAAAGGAACAAACTCCCTCTCAAAACGATTGACCTGCTCATCCCACACCACGTATATACGGATGGATGGATGTGTGTTTGTGTGTCCATGGGTTCGTACGGTACACAGATTGATACAAGCAGTGTTCCATGCCCACCTGCCAAGATAGGAGGCTAGTGTCTCTGCAGTCATTGAGCCCCGGTTCCTCTTGGGAAGTTATTCTTTTAATTTAAAGCTCTCTTTTTCCTTGCCCTTCCCTCTTTCCAAACTCTTCCCCAATTCCCAGGTCTTCAGTCTGAAAAGACAATCTGGTGAAACAAGTTGCCCTCCCCTCAAAATTCACTGGGAAATAGAAACTGCATAAACAGTGACACCCACACAGACATTGAAAATACCACTTGGATGAATGGATATGTTTATGCATGTGTGTGTGCGCGCGCGCATGTGTACAGTAGCAATTGCAAAAAAGGGACCATATTCCTTTCCATATGACGATACAATGTGATAAGAAACATTTCTGTGCAGGAAATAGGGTCTCTTCGCATCTTATCACAACACTGTGGCGGGAACATCAGGAAATAGGTTCACCTTTCAGCAGTCACCACAGTAAACTTCATTGAGAACACACCTGCCCAGACGTCTGGTCTGTGCACATGTGAGTGTTAACAGCTAGCCATTCAGCCAACAGGTAACAGAAAGACAGCAGATAGCAAAACACGTCAATAAGGTGCTCAAAGAAAAAAGTGGCACCCACTCCTCGAATGGATGGCCACAGTAAGGTGCTTCAAAAAAGTTTTTTTTCTTTTTTCAGTTTTTATTTCAAACATTAAGAGTACTGATTTGCACATGGTAGTTCTGAGCCAGGCCAATGGTTTTGAGATTTCTGACATCTTCCATTGAAAAGGGCTTTCACTGTAGTTGATTTATTCAGTTTGTTGTGGGTCACTTGAGCTTAAAAATGTATTTAATAGCCAAAAACGGAAATCAAATCAATATGACTAAAAGAAATAACAGATGAAATGGTATAGAACATTACTGCATTCCCATTGGATCAAGATGGTCTCGCCCATTTTTCCTCTTTCACTAACACTGTTCCTTTTTTTCTTTGTTACAATCCATTCCTTGTGAACATACAGAAATGTCCAAAGTCACTGCAAAGAGCTGTTTTTATTTTTTGTGATCTGTTGCAAGAGTCCAACCTTGTTTCCTCTGCTGCTGTTTGTGTAGCATCTGGATTTGTGATGAGCATCTGGATTGGTTGTGTGCATGTGTGTATACGTGCACATATACACACCTATACATGTATAATATATACACTGTATACATGGAGATACAGGAAGTGTGTATACATTTATACATCATATAGTGTATATGGTTTCAACTGGAGATAAACTGAACTGGGTTCCCACACTAGCACATGTTTATCTTTCCCCTGCTCCCTCTGCCTATTTTAAACAGGATGGAGCTTCCATTTATTTTTTTAAAGTGCATTTTCAATGCAGAATAACTGTAATTCACTGATTCCTTGGAAAACATTTTTGATGAGAAAAATCTGACGGTTCTCAGCCCCAAGCAAGAGAAACTTGGGTTTGGTCGTGCCAGGGGCTGACGTGGCAGTGCCAGGCTTGAGCCTGAGTGATGACTGGGCATTCTGGACTCTGGGCACCTTAGCAGCAGCAGCAGCACCTTTAGGAGAAGGCGGAGACAGAAGAGGGGGAAGGAAGGAAAGCTCAGATGAGGAAGGATGAGTCTGCGGGGTGTTCACGGTCAGAATTAACTTGGTACGGATTTGTGCAGTTCCTGCTTGGCTCCAGCTGAGAGATGCCATCGAGTCCCCTGCCCACCCACTGACACCAGCCTCCCCATGTGCCCGCACGTTCAAGCATCGCCCATGCGTCCCCACTCCCAAGGCTGACTTCCTGTCAGTTCCCTGTGGGTATGTGAGTGCCAGCATTGAGAAGGAATAAGGCACCAGAGAAATCAAAATGTTACAAAAGATGCAAAAAACCCATTTCAAAGAGCCTCTCCCATGGTTCCATTAAAATATTGCATGTGATACCACTCATTTGTGTGACTTAAATGTGTCAAATGCGGTCTCTGAAAGGAACTTGAGGCCCTTCAGCACCAGAGATCTGTAGGAATGCACCCTTTGTCTAAACACACCCACGCCCCCCACGCCCACCCCATGCCACACACAAAAGCACCAGGTCGGGAGAGCAAGGCTGCTTGCCATTGCTCACCTCATTTTTGATAAAAATCAAAGAAGTCCATGAAATAGAATTTTCAGGAACTGCTCTGAGATCAAAAGGGTTTGGGCTGTCAGGTATCTAGTTATGCCATGTTCTCAATGTCCAAAGAGCCTCCCGAACATATTTGCGTTCAATGTTTAGGGGGAATGTGCTAAAAAAAAATTACTTCTCAGATGATGCCCGCGTACTCCACTAACACTTCAACCTCCCCTGTTTGTTTTTAAATACTGTAAAAAGGAAGAGATTCACCTACCTATAAAAGGAAAAAATGAAGGCACATGATTTTATTCGGTCCCAGAAAAATGGCATTTTGCAAGTTCGCGCGCGCGCGCGTGTGTGTGTGTGTGTGTGTGTGTGTGTGAACGCGAGTGCAGACACACTACATGGGAGTCCGGGGGCTGCTGGGGCAGTCGTCCAGCGGAAGCTGGGGAAGGAGAAGGAGGAGGAGGGTTCTGAGACAGAGAAGAAAGGAGAAAGGAGGGAAGGATGCCTCTCTTCAGCTTTCTGTCATTGACAGTCTCAAGATTTTGGCTGCTTTAAGGTCCAGAACGGAATTCATTTGTCTTGGTCTAGAAAGTGCCCCCAGTTACATATCTCCAGTTAATCATGTTACAGCTTTTGGTGTTCCCCTTTTCCCTTCCCTCCAGCCAAATGATTTTTTTAAAAAAATCACAGTTTTTAAAAATTATTTTTTCAATGTTGAAAAAATATGGAAAAGCTATTGAACAGCCTCAGGGCCCTCTGCCTCTCCATCCTCACAGTGAGCAGATGGATGGACCCACAGAACCCAAGAGGAGCCAGCAGGATCCTTGTGCAGGAGGGTCCCTCGCACCGAATTCCCGGGGGCAGGCTGCCTTCCCAGCACCCACATTCTTTCTTTCAGCGGAACCCCTGGTCTCCTGCCCCATCCAGGGAGTGTGGGCGCTGGAAAGGCAAAGCCACTCCAGAGAGCGATGGTAATAGGAGAGGGTCTGACAGGCTAGAGGCTCTCTCCTCAGGCACCGTAAGCAGCGTGCTCTCAGCAGCCTGGCCCCAGGACGAGAAAGCGTGGTTGCCCACTGAGAGGTTGAAGTCCCATTTACATTTGCTTCATGAGACCTCAGCTCGCAGGCTCACCACCTTGGTGCCTCTCTTGGCATCAGAGTTGGCCCCAGTTCCTGAAGAAGGCACTGGTCCAAGACAGAGAGGCAGGGGCAGCTGGCTGCATCACACAAAAAGGGCTATGGACAGTGGGATTTCAGAAACAAATTTAACTTTGGTTTTCTGACATATTTAAACCGTAAAAATTAAAGCAGGGCTTCAGAGGCTTCGATCATCTGACTGGTGGTATATTTTTTTCTCATTTGGCAAGGCTAAGGCGGGGGGAAGAGAAAAGGGTTCCCATAATTGGTCGAAGACACAGGGTGGTAAATGCTTCCACACTTAAACTCACAGTCCAGTGTTTTTGACATTTCATAAATAGCTTTTTTCTCTAAAAAAAGAATAAAACAAGAACAATCCCTTTACTTACTTATCTGAAACAAAATAAACAGCAGTGGGTACAAACTTCTTCTTGTAACAATTACAAAAAACAACAATATAATCCCAACTTTTAACACGCATCTTGAATCAGTTATTTTTTTTTAACCTCAAAACTGCAGCATATCCTTAAGGGCAAACTTTTCGATTAGTTTTTTTCTTTTTTTTTTTAAATAATGTCTTCACCAAAAAAACAGTCTTGTACCAATAAAATGCATTCAAAAATAGAAAATATTACACAACAAAAATATGTATCCTTCCTTTCCAAAAAAGATTCTTCACAAAAAAATGTAGAAAAAATTCCAACAATTTTTTTTCCTTTCCTAAACATTAACTTTCAGTCTAGGGCACAATTATTTATTGATTTAAATGTCTGTTTTTGCATAAAACATGGAAGATGCAAAACAATTACTGTATTAGGATTGTAAAGTTACATCCACTCCACCCCTACTCTAAAACAAAACAAAACCAGAAAAACCCAGCAAACATTGAACAAATGGTACAGCCAGTTGGCTAGGAAAACTATCTCTGCCTTTCCACTACTGTGCACATGTGTGGGCTAACGGCTCTGCTGGTACCTGGGACTGCTGAAGAAGCCAGATCAAGACTGTTTAGCAATAGCTGATGTCCTATGAGTCATTTACAGTCTCCCATGTTGCCGGTCTATCTGCTGTAAATCCTCACGGAGAAAAGAATCACATGAGGTAGCACATGGGCAGAGGACTAAGGTCTATCCACATGTATGGTACACATATCTCTATACAAGCCACTTTCTCAACCATATCATGTCTTTTTTTTTTCTTTCTCAAAATGGAGCTCGAGCATGGGATACAAGGTGATGAAGAGCTCCAGTGGCATGAGGAAGGCTGGGTGACTTCTTCCATAGTCGCCTCTCCTACATTTAACCTGGTTGGGCATTAACTGGAACAATGACAAGATCTCAAACCTCAAAGGAATGCTGTTTTTGTTTTATATTTTCAGCAATGTAGCTGAAGATGATGTATTTTTCTTATTTGATGGTATTTCTCTTTTGTGTGGTATTTCTCATTTTGTATGCGTATTCATTGTGTGTATAAATTGATTTTTTTCATAGCTTTTTTCCCCGTTGCTTATTAGATTGCTGGTTTTTTCTTTGTGGTTTTTGTTTTGTTTTGTTTCTGATTTTTTAAACAGTGAAATGTGTCCAATTTTATTTCCAGTGCATTAAACAAATTTTAAATTAAAAGAAGAAATAAAACTTTCCCCCCATCCTTCTAAAGAAAATGACTGATAAAAGTACAATATAATAAAATCAGGCATTTCCAAAAATAGCATGATGTGCAACCTCAATTATATAAAAGAAAAACAAACAGACAAACAAGAATTATAGAACATAAGAATGAAGGAGCCAAGACTATATAATCTCAACTATGGTATGATTGGCAAGCACTGGTTAAAAAATAGGTAAGGCTACTCTTAGATTTCTAACTCAACATAGTTAACCACTGCTCTTCTGTCTTTTCCTTCAATTCTTAATCTTTAACTCACTAGTTCTTTATATCTTTAAAATGGACAAATTTGTTTTTATATTTTTGGTCTACAGTAGAATTACATATTAATAATATAATAAAAAGGTATTTCATGAACAGGTTGGTACTGCATCCATATGGGGGAAATAGAAAAAAGTACTCAAATAGACATAGCAAATGTACTCTAGCCTTATAAAAATAACCACAAATATAATAGAAGTTATAATCAGGGCAACCGATTAAACTGAAAATATAGAAAGATATATTTTGGATCATACAAACTCCTGACAAGCTATGCCCTAGAATTGCAGCCTCCAAACCTTTCCCATGATTTCCACCTTTCCATAGGACCACTCAAAATTCAAACGGAAATGGAAACAAAACAAAAATAAAGTGGACAGGTGGTTGAACCAGCCAGAGCTTCCATGTTATCTTAGCTGACTGGCCAAGACCAGGTGGACAGCATCTGAGAAACTGGTAGGCCACAGGGGAGCGGCTGATGGTGTCTGTTTTTAATTTTGGAGGAGTTCCCAGCCCACTGATAAAGAGAGAAACCAAGGAACCAAATAATTCTTTTGGTAATATAAAATACATGAGATGAGACATAATTCCAATAGAGAGCACATGGCAGTGAGATGGGAAAGAGGAGAGTAGGCAAACTTTGGGCACCACCTCCACCTCCATTTGTTTTCTTCAACACATTGTTTTCTTTCTCTTTCTGAGCATCCTTTAGGATTAGCTACAGGCCCCAATGTCCTCTGAGCAAACATTTGTCATCACAGCTCTCAATATGACACCTATGCTTTCTGGCCTTCCAAAGGGCAAGGTGGCTCTGGAGGGTCCCACCCCCATGTCCCGGGCCTTGAGGAGGCAGAGAAGAGATGCAAAGCTTTAGTGACCATCCCCACCTGACGGTAAATGCACACTGAGGTTCCAGTGTAGGAAAATGAATATGAAGGAAAAGAATTGGTAAGAGTTGAGCTCGGTAATCAACAAGTATGAAGTTTTTCTTTCAGAAAAAAAGGAAGAAGAAAAAGAAATGGCATCAGTCAGAAAATACTGCTTTTGGTTTCTTTTCACTTCAAACCATCCTTGGTTTTTCTCTCATTCAGTTGCTCCGGTTTAAAGTAGAGTTTAGAATCTAGTGCAAATATCATCAAATCACAGCATTCCAGGAGCAATATCCTATCCCTTCATCCCAAGTGAACACTATCCCTTCAGACCTCCTCCGAAGACCAGGGGGCAATGATCCAGAAAAGTGTAACTGAACAAATTATTGACATGGTACTCACTGCAACAAGAAAGGCACTATCACAACAGCTCAGCCTAAGCACAGCCCTTCTCAAGGGCCTGGACATTTTCAACCACTCTGGCAACCACGGTGAAACCCAGCCTGTGGCTTTTTCAATACTCTAATTCATTGCCCATATCTGACTACCCCACTGGCCACCGCTGTTGGCTCTGGCCACACAGAGAACTGATCTGCTCTGTGTCCATGTGACCCCACATTTTACCAATGACCCTTGCTTGGTTCTGAAATGATTGAGCTCATTCTCTCCCATGAAGTTTCTTTCTCTCCACCAGTCTCCAGGTCATGACTCATATAAAGACTAGTTTACAGTGTCAGGTACTATTGTTTAGTATTTTCCCATTTCTTAAACCTCCGACCAAACCCTAAGTCTTAAAGATAGTTCAGCAGCTCCTCTAAGAACAAATCTTCTGTAAATATCACTGTGAACAGAATGAAAACCACAGTGTCATCCCTTGACCACCAAGGCATATCTCTTGAGCTCCTTGTATTTTGTCTTGGAGAGAGGAGGTCAGGCTCTAGAGATTAAAATCTTTGGTGACAAAACTGCAGTGGGTATGTGAGTGTCAAGGAAGAAGGTGTTTTCCCAAAGCCTCCAGAGAAGTATCCTAGGTCAGTCAATGTGGATATATTTTAAAAGGTCAATTATTTCTTTCTATCACTTTGGTTTGGTGCAATCAATGTCCGTTTGGTGCCCACCCAGCACACATCTCTAAGTACCTGTAAAGAACTCTGAATTTAGAGATTCTTATTTAAAATGGAAATAATGCTTTAAGTGCTTAAGGGTTTGGTTATGTTAGTTCTGAAAGCTCTAAATAGAGTTTTTCTAGCTAGCAAGGCTGACAGCTTCCTTAACTATTTTTTTTTTAAATCTTGGAATAGTAGACTTGGATGGATCCTAAGGAGGAGAGAGAGATAGGTGTCAATGCGGCAATCTTAGGACAGAGAGTATTCCAAATAATATCCCTCTATATGATGTTCAGAGAAATCCAACACTAGCCATTTAGACGGGTTGTGATCCTTTCTCACTGAACCAGAACCTTCAAAGCTGTCACTTTGGATCTGAGAAGCCTTTAGCATCTTCCTATTGCTTGTGGTGTAAGATTCTTTTATTAATAGACACTACAGAGCCATAAACTCTAATTCCATCTAAGATTAAACAAGGTAATAAAAGAAAATCCAATTAAAAATTGAAAAAACCCCCAATAACTTCAAAACTAAATTTTTAGGCACTGTTAAGGTCTTCTGCTTAATAAAGGACCATCTACGACAGAGCAGTTAGTAAGTAGGTTCTGTTTTGTCCTCCAACCCTTCCTCCAGTGTCAAAGTGGGCCTAGCATGTTTCAAAATAAGCCTTTCACCTCATGGTTCTCAGTGGTTATTGCACTGTTCCCTGACTGTCATCACACCCATGGCCTCCCTCTTTGGTTAGCCTGCTCTAGGTTTCACCCATGGATGGAAAAGCATGCCCCGGCTGGAAATCTCTCTCTAGCATGAAAACGGTTGTGTGTTTTTTGAAAGGGGGCACTGCCCTCTCTGGCACGGAAATGTGCATCGGCCTCCGTGGTGCAGGGCAGAGCAAGGGTGTTCACAGCACCTCGGTTGGCTTCACCATTGCAACTCTTACTGAAAGCTTAGTTGGAGATGACATTGGCCAAACATCCTAAGTTCACGACACTAAGCCAACTTCCTTATGATATGAAAACAGATCCTATCCACATGGCAGTTTCTAAGCCTGATTAAGGATTGGCATTCTACAGATTTTCACCAAACCTGCTACCACCAAGCATGATGGAAATAACCCTCTATTTTTGTGATGCTTCTAGTTTCATAACTTGTTTCTTTCTTTGTCATACCTCACACACTCTCTCCCAGCACAAGTAAATACATTTCAGTAGTGCAATGCAGTGCAGTCATATTTAGTGCAAAGAAAAAAAAAGCCCTATTATAAACCCAAGCTCAACCCTACACAGCTCTACAAAGGTTACCAGTGCCACAAAGTGGGAAATTCAGTCTCTGCCTCACACTTCAGTGAGTCATCTCTTTTGTTGCCTCTGTTTGTTTCAGCTCAAGGGAGAGAAACAATTCACATGCACCTATGTATTATTCTGTAAAATGTTAAGCCAATCAGCAGGAAACAAAGGGTAATAGTGGAGTGGAAGCCAGGGTAGTATTTAGAAGAGGGGAATAACTACTTAATGCAAAGGTCAGTAGTGGTTTTTATTGAATGGTTTTCATGATGTCAAATGGCTCTGATGCTAAAGGGAGTGGGTACAGGAAAAGATAAAGCTTTCCTGTCTCTCAAAACAGGTCCTAGATTTAACAGTGATGAGCTCTTGTTTCTGAATAGTGCAATCAGCTACTCCCCAGGGCTGCAGACAGCAGCACCTTACCTCATAGAAACAGGGACTCACGCTTCCTTACACTGACCACCATCTCCCTCGCCTCATTCTTCTCTTATTTTTTCTGAATACTCACTATTTTTTTCTGAATACACACAAAATACAGATCTACATACACATAAATTCTCAAGGCCCCTCTCAGGATGATAGGTTGAAAATTGATACAAACAGCTCAATGGCACACTCACACAAAAAATCTTGCTACTAAATATAAAAGTGAATTATTAAGAGTCTGCATTGTACCTCTTATTGTATTATTCTGTAAGAGAAAACATTCATAGTAGGATATCTAATGGGGTATACTTCTCGCTTGGTATTAGTCTGGCATTAGTTTGGGATGACAGTATTGAGTGATTCTGGAGAAATGCTTGGCATTTGATAATCCTCAGGAATAAGCCTTTCAGTGTGTCTGGGTCCCCACTCTCCAAATGTAAACCTGCTTCTCTGCTCGTACCCACACACGCACGCTGAAGTCTCAGGAGAATCACCATTAGTTCAGAATAGATTACAGAAACAAGGGTGTTTGGCATAGTGGGTTCAATACACTCAAATTACTTTAAAACATAAAGTTAGATTTTCTCGAGTCCATCAACTCTTTGCCTTTGACTCTGCTTTCATGTACTCTGAAGAGCACAATTCTTTCAAGAATAGTGCAAAAACCAAAGTTAATATTAAGATATAGGAAAGTTAGCCTTCATTCATATCTTAATAGGCCCCTCAGCAGACCTGAGGTTCAAATCAGTGGGACTACGGAAGGAGTGTCCGTGCTGACAATGCCCTAGGGTCTAGGGCCTAGACCATTTTCTCCTACCAAGTGACACACAGATGGTTCCAAATCAGTTTGTCCCAAGGGGAGCAAGAGCAGAGTAACCAGCCTTATGAACTCCTGGCAGTGCACACCCACAGAGCACTTTAGACTATGTCTAAATCTGGAACTAAATTTGAACCATTATTTTATTTTCAGTCATCTCTCTGCATATGCCCTCAAGAGCAGGTTAGATCTCAGAGCAGTCACAGGTGTCTACAATGTCTCCAGAGGGGTTTGATAGTATTAAGACTTAAATGACAAAGAAGTGAGGTTATCTTACCAAGTCTTGGGACTGTAATGGTGAGAGATGGGCAAGAGTGGCAAAGGGTGGGTGGTGCTGACTTTCTGGTAACCCTGAGAATCAGCTTTAGGATCCAGAACTGTCTCAGATTTGTCCCATCAATTGTCCTGTTTCCCTCTTGCTTTTCCTCTGTTCACTTAATTGCGATTATTTTAAAGAGTGAGCTAAGAATGCAAATTATAGCACAAACGGCAGGTCATAAAAAGGCTGTCAGGCTATCTGTAAATTGGATTGAGTTGAAAGCAGTATGCTTTCAAATGAAACACTACAATTTCCTTTAAAAAATGTTTCTAGTTTGGCTTCTCCTTCTCGTGTGGCGGTGGGTCTGGGTGGTGAGGTATGGGCCCTGCAGCCCATCTCCCTGTGACCACCACCCCCAGCACTGGGTGGGGAGATGAGAAACAGTGGAGAAGTGGATGTTTCTCCATTGAAGACCTCAGGAGCACATATAGGTTTGAAATGAACAGAAAAGAAATCTGAACAATTTTAGAAATCGATAGATCAATGGATTTTAGCTTTTTAGTAGCATCCTTTCTGTTTCTTTCCCTTTTCTGGGTATTCATCACTAGATAGCGGTAAGAAATACCCAAAGAGAATTTTCATTAAAATAACTTATTCCCAGCTGCATTTCTAAAATATGAGGGGACAATAAGGATTTACAGTGTAAAATACATGGCTTTCACCTGCAATCAACTCCTATTCTTTGGCCCAAGACCTATCAGTTTAGGTTAAATGGGGCTTCTTTCTCAGGGAATAGTTGCAACTATTCTATCCTCAAGGTGCAGAGACAACTTCTCTCACAAGGCTCTCAAGTGCTGCTAGAAAAGAAAGAGAAGGTTTTCGTGGAGAAAGACTCCTTGCTGGCAGACGGGAGGCTTTTCATTCTCAGAGGGAAAGGAGGTGGCAGGGCCCGCAGGTATCTGACTGCTGCCTATGCCACCAGGTTGAAGAATCAAAATCTTTTACTATCTTGAGAAGAAAGAGATAAAGGGAAACAAATAAATTAACAAACAAGCTTTATGGAAATACACATCCCTCCAGTTTCAGGTTTCTAAAGAAATAATAATTATGCTTCAATCAAGGTTTATAGATAGCAGACAACTGTTTTAATGTGTAAAAGTATCATCCCTTGGCTTGACTATGTTAGTTTCACTTTCTTTGAAGGAATTGCATCTGTCACACGTGCCCTAAAGTCCAGTGCAGAAAACAAACTGGTTTGCTACCAGCCTCAATCTCAGAACATTTCCTAAGCTATACTGGTAAATACTAAAACTACAGATCTGTAAAATGAGATGCAGACTTTCTGAAACGCACTGTGGTGGGGTTTGGGGAAGGAAGCAAGCTGTTAATGGGGGAAGACAGAAAGAAATCCCTTCCTGTCCTCCCAAATACATTTTATAATGTTTCTGACCATGATTTTGCTGCATTAGATACTGTGAGGGCTATTGGTGCTCCTGGCAGGGGTCAGCTTAGAAAAGCAGGAGGCTTGTAAGCAGTAAGAAATCCACACCCTGGAGCCTCTAGAATATGAAACAGAATTTAGCCATTACTCTAGAGACTAATGCAGATTGTGGTGAGAAACCCCGGTGTCAGGGTTGGAACTCTTCTTGGGGGACTAGAGGGAACAATGCCAAGAAGGCCTCCTGGAGAAACCTTTCTCATTACCTGGACCACCTGGAACCTATCAGAACCAGATCCCCTCCTACTCTACATTATACTTTAAATGATAGTATTTGGATGCTAGAAGCCAGTGCTTGGGGAGATGAGCACTTTAGATGCAGAGTACTTTAAAAAAAGATGCAGGGGTCAGAATGGACAAAAGAAGAGAAGAAGAGAGGACCTGTTGGGAGAACATGCCAAGTGAAGATCATGGTTCTCAGCTCCATACATTCTGGCTTTAGGAAAGGTTGGTTTCCTACTGGATTTGCGACTCGGGAAAGCTTCTGAACCTTCTCATTATTGCACTGCTCTCTGTGGTGTGAGCTGATGTTACACACTGGTTTGATTAGGAAAAATGCTGAGTTAACCCTCAAGTCCAATTAAGACTCCATTTCTGATATTAAATGTTGATTCTGTTTGTCAATGGGTAAAACAAGGAATGAATGCACACCCCTGTGCACTAAAAACCAGGTAACACTTTAAATGCTTCAGAATTTGTCTTCATAAGAGCGGAGAGGCAACGTAGCATCATGGGAAGAGTGTTGGACTGGGAGTCAGGAAGCACTGTGTTGGAGCTGCTAAGATCGCATTCTAAACATCCTGTACAGGGGCAGATCCAGAACAGCATCAGTCCTTTGGGCAATGCTCCAGCGACCAGGCAACTGTAACTCACTGAAATGAGATCTAGTATGATGACCAAATTATATGGTGAATGTTTAGGAACTGGGGAGTGTATTACATGGTCCTTCAAGTATCTAGTCAGCCTTATTTTATTTAAACATATATTAAGTTGATGTCTAAAAACAGATACTTTAGAAACTTTTTGAATCTTTTAATTTCTTAATAAATTACTGCTTAAAACTCTAAATTAATAATTGTTTCTCCAAAAGATAACGAATGACAAAAATTCTTCCTGATTGTCTCCTACAATGTGTTTGAATGGCAGTGGCTTTACTTGTTTTAGAAGAGCTCATTTAAGGCTTGAGCAGTTGCCAAAATTATTTTGAAATGTCACCCCCTTTGCTTGATTTCTGTAAATCTAGTATCTGGTAATATGTCACTTGGCAGGTATTGAAATAGTTAACATTTTTTTCCCTCCCTCAGAGATATAGTCTACTCATATCAGGAATTTGAACACTGTGGTATTTAAAGAAAAAAACAACACACCAGAAAATATTTTTCGCTTTATCATTGGCCAAATATGAAGGTGAGAGGAATTAATGACCTCAGCTAGTGCAGATGACATTTAAAACTGTGAGTCAGGTCCTCCCACTCTCCAAAGAATATTGATAACTTTTAGAATGAGAAGGTGCAGTGTACACTTGCTTCACTCTGCCTGACAGTCTCAAGTGGATGAGCTCATGTCAATGCTCTTTAAACACCTACAGCTTAAAGAAGGGCATTCACAATGGGTTTGGGGAAAGGAAGGGAAATGGGCACTCAGGGGCCTGATTATTAGAGTTCCTGGGGTGGTAATAATATGAAGAGGTAATTTAAAGGAGTCTTAAAGAGAACCAAGAAATAAAGAGAAAGGGTGAGGAAAATAATAAAGTTGATATAATTTGGGTATTATGTGATCGTTGGAAAAGGAACAGCTTCCCTAACTCTTAATTTACAATTACGTTTGTCTAGCAGAAATATATTTAGTTGAAAAATTTGGAGAGGCAGATGAATAATTTTGCTATTAGACTCAATGTTAGCCCTTCAAAGTGGTTAGAGTAGGTAGATCCTTAATGATACCAGGCTTCAGAAGCAGAGGGCATGGAGGGGAGCCTGGATAAAGGGGTGGGGGCGAACTTGTTGGAGGGGCACAGCAGAGCGGGATGGGATTTGAAAATAAAAACATATCGGGGAAGATGAAAGGAAGAAATTGGTGTTATTCACACTGAAAAAAAGCCTCACTATTGGTCCAGTGTGGGAAGGGCTTTCACACTGAGTACTGTGAACAGCTGTTTTTATTTTGTCCTGAATATAGAATGGAGAGAGTGAGGCTGGTTTCAGGCACCCAGGATGGATGTAAAGTTTATCCAACTGTGGAGTTTTCTAGGCATTGGATTAAACAGCTGTGGGAAGCTGAAGAAGCTCTTTTTTCTGAAAATAATATTTGACAATATTTCTTGCTAGGAAGACTGGATGCCTGATTTCTGAAGTTTCCACGATGGCCTGGTTAAATTAGAAGGAACCAAGTCCCCATCTCAACAGACAAATGGGGATACTGAGGGCCAGGTACCCAAGAGCCACCATTTATTTTATTGATTCTGCAGACTAAAAAAATTATATAAAACTTTCTGAGTTCTACTTCTATTAGCCTCTGTCATGAAAAGTTCTTCAAACTCAGGTTTTATTTTTTTAAAAATCTCCTAGGGAAATGAATATTCTACTGCCAAGCTGCCTTCAGGGAAGCATTAAAGACTAGTTAGAACTGCAAGCGTACTGAAAACAGGAAGCTGTCAGAACAGAACCAATCTTAAAATCAATGTTTGAAAACAGAGCTAGAAAAACTAGGCATTTCACTGCCTGATGGTTTTCAGATGAGCAGCCCTTTGAAACGCAGCCTGTAATTGTTGGTCAGGTCACATGGAGGGTAAGCAGGTGCTTGGTCATATTTTTAAAAGCAAATACAGGCAGTGACAGTCCTAGAGGGAAAAATCACAGATACATTCATATGTACTTTCTTTTGTTCTTTAGATATTGAGAGAGTCAGCGAAACAAGATCACTTATACTATGAACCTCTTTGTATCAGCCACACCAAACATTTTTTTTTTACAAAAAGTTTTCACTTTCCTACATTTGCTAAGTCTGAGCTTAAAAAAATCCTAAAAACCTGTAAAGACAATACTGAAGCTGATAATATAAAAAGCCAACTAGAGCAGTAATGATTATTATGAAATGCACCAGATTAACTGCGGCAGGTTGGTGATGGGTGATAAATGCAAAGAAATAATATTTCAATCAACTCATGATCATAGGCAGATTCAAAAGTTAAAATGAATATAATGTAATATATATTTCAATATAGAGTTGTTATATATAATGTGTATGTTCTAGCTTTCAGAAATACTGCAATGTAGTGTACTGTACTTAAGTAAGCATACTTTAATAGTAACTCATATTCTTCCACAAAGTCACTAGTACTGTTAATTAAAAAAAAAACACCTTTTTTTTCCAGTAAAAAGAAATAACTATGGTTACAGTCACAGACTTATTTTGGATAAAGAAAGACAATATAGATTTAAAAAATAGGAACAAGGAAAAGATTGCAACCGTAAGTAGTAGCCTTACTTAATGGGGGAGGGGAAAGTCACCAAAATAGAAGAGGAAAGAAAATGTCCTCTGAATTCTGTAAATTAGCAGAAATAATCTACATGTCATAAAAAATAATAAACTACCTATAAAAGAAGGACATGGGAGTAAGGAAATTGAATCTGTTTCCAGGCCACCTTCAAAGTCAGCTCTGAGAGCCAGGCCCATTTACTCAGAACAGTTCCTACTTGAATGTCTGAGACAGGCAAGAGCCATCAATTCTTACCAAAAATTATTTCCCCCGAGAGTCCATTGGTTTGCTAGGCATGGTAAACAAGCCACTCCTGGAAAGACTTCGGCAAAGGCCACACTGGTGTCAGGAGACACAGTTGATGGTGTCCTGCAGATGCAGACAGGATTAGGAAGCTTTAGTTTGGGAGTAAAACTTACAAGTGGCTGGGTGTTTGTGTGCACACACTGGGTTGCAGAGAGGAAAAACCTGGAATGGCTTAGGCCAAGCTTGTATGGGCCTTGCCTGCATGGCCTCTGTGCTCCTTCCTCCCAGGCCTAGGCAGGTGCCCCAGACGGCTGCTCCCTCTCGTCGTCTCCTCACCAGTTGAGTACTTCTGTTCTACCTTTTTCTGGAGAAAAACAGCCTGTCACTGTGGGTTTGCTGTGGATCCAACAAGCTGCCTTGTTTCTCCCAACTCTGAAACGCTACAAAAAGCAACAGAGTGGGCAGGTGACTGCTTCCTGGGAAGGGAGCCACAAGTCTGGAGCGCAACGGTGAGGAGAAGCAACTGAATCTATGCACAGGACCTACTGCTGTGTGTGCTCAGTGGGAGACACATACTCTCCCAGACTACAAGTATACACACAAACACACACGTTCACACACACATCAGTAAATCCCACAGAAGTGCAGAGGTGGTTAAGTGCACTCTCCTGCTCCAAACAAGTACCTTCAAGTTTTCAGGGAAGGGGTCCTAGAAATGACTGATGGGTGGGGCTTCTGCAGAATGACATGACCCAAAGCCTCACCACAGACAGCGGTCGGCACTGATACACCTGACTAAGGCAGCTGAGCAGAAGCAGACATGTGAGACTTTTGACTGACTAGAAGTTCCAGAACCCATCTTGTTGTCGGGGAATATGAATTTGGAACACTTTTGTGCTGAGAGCATCCCATGCTGGGTGTGTACATGCATAATGTACACTTATTTGCACATTTTGGATAGCAGCTGACATGCTGGTTGGGTTAAGTCCCTTTCATTACTAGAATCTACATATAAATTGCACTGATATTTCTGGGCAGTAACAAACTTCTGTTGCAACAGTAGTAGAAACAGATGTCTACTATGAGGTAAAAAAAATTTTTTTTTTGTATCTTGGGTGTATCAGGATCTCATTGAGGCATTTTGAACAAAGGAAACCTCTGAATTTGAAAGAGGGCTAGTAGGGACTTTTTGTACCCTAATTAGGTATCTCAAAACCAGGACTCCCATGATTGTGGCTAGATTTTCCCTATGATCTCAGATTAGGCTCCTTCATTGAAGACTTGAAAGTTGTGAGTTTGCATTTAACAAAGAACCGTCAGATAAACCAGATGCTCACTAAAACTGAGAAAAAAACAAGAGGAAATATTTTGCTGAGATTGTTCTCCGTTAAGAAAATGATTAAAAATGGAATCCCAGACACCTGTGATCCTGTCTTATGCAATTCACTAGTTAGATAAGATGATGTCTATTTCACACCTGGCCCAGATCTATGTCACAGAAATAGGATAGGAAATAGCAGCTGCTTCCTGAGAGTAGCCAGTTCTGGACAAGTTTGTTGCCTCCCCCCAAACATAGTCTTCAGTCAGAAACATTTTTGTGATAATGCAACTATTAAAAACCAAGAACTGTCCATGTCTCCGCACCCTTCCAATCTCTCTCTCTTCTGTCCTCTCCCCTGGGCTTTCTGATTTAAGGCAATAATTCTTTACTACAAGTGGCTTCTTGTGAAAATACCTTAGCCGAGGTCACTTTAGATTAGATTTTAGTTTGAAAGTATTCAGTTTATGGAACAGTAGGCTGGACCTGAAGAAACCCTGGAATCCAGGTGTTTCAGTCAGTGGTGTGAAAAGATGATGTTTCTGGTTTCAACCCGGTTCTGAAAAAGAACCTGTGCCATTTTCTGGGATCTGTTAATGTACACCACTGACCACTGTGGATTCAGTGTCCAAGGAGAAAAAGTATTCAGAGGCTTAGAGAAATCTTTGGAGTATTTTGGTCAGGCTAATCATCTTAATTCCTAGTGCTAGAAATGATGCTTTGGTTAGTAATTTCCACAGTCTATGTTTGCTGGGTCACCACAGCTTCTCCTCCTGGGGAGACTTAAGCTGGTTCAGAAATGGCAGCTCTACACAGACAGCCCTTGGGAATATGAAGATATTCTTTCTCTAAAGCAAGGGCGCATCTGTGTCCCTTTTCTGCCTTCATATGAAGCCTGAGCACCAGGATAGAGATTGCTTTTGAAAGTTTATTCCATGTCATTGTATTTCCTGGGCACCTAAGAGAACAGCCCTTTTCTTCGTGAAAACAGAGAGAGAAAGAGTTGTCGCCATCCCAGCTGGGAAGTTGTGTGTAGCCCCAGAAGCCCGGTGGCCTGGTCGGCTCAAGCACTCTCCTCAGGCACTGCAGACTGGAGGCACTGGGTTGCTTTGCTTTTTCTATGGAGTAGGGAGTCTATTGAAATGCTAGTGTGCCCTTCCTTTTGTTTGTCACCAAGTCACATGGTTCTGTCTTCAGTGTCCTATTTTTCTTTTTTTAAATTTCTTTTTCTGGGGGACAAAATTAGCCATTTAAATAAAGTTCTTTTCTAGTGAATAAAGAGGGTTCTTGGAGCCAGAAATCACTCAAAAGAAAGTCTTTGACCCTACCCATGGAAAGGCCCAGAGATTTCTCTAAATACCTCTTGCCAAACTTCCTCGTGTTGTGATTGGATGTTTTTTGGTTTTGCATTATTGGGTGCTGAATACATTTTGAAATCCTTTTGTTCTCTTCCCTAGGGCTTCCATTACCCAGGACTTCAACTCATTCCTAAATTAAAGAATTCTTTCAGGAGATTTCTTTTAAGAGTCATGTCACAACAGAAAGGGCACTCTCCCATTCTCCTCAATCCCGAGGGCATCTCAGGTTGTGTCTGCTCTTACGTTGCACCTTCGTTGTGTTTCTTTTTGCTGCAGCAGTACACTGGCTGTAGCAGAGGCAGATGGTTTATCTAATACCTTTGCTGTAGACTCACATATCCTTTGCTCCCAGGCCCAGCTCATTAAATGACATCTACAACAACAGAGGAAGGCTCCAGAATGGGCACGTCTAGTGTGAAGCCTGGCCAGATCTATTTCATTGCCCCCTTTCCTAAGGGCAACAGGTGTTAGGAGCATTATGGGAGCCACACTAGGAAGCAACATGAACCTTTATTATGTTCTCTTGGGGATCTGAGGGATTTATAAGGAGCACACCTCATTCTGAACTTCTGTGCTGAGGAAAAACACTGATTTGGGGCATGGACTGGGCACATGCTGCTGGTGTGCTTATAGGGTGAAAGTACTAGTCCACGTAGCTCAAGTCATTAGGACTACGTGAAACAAACCCTCCCAGAGGAAACCTTTTCTCCGTTCACATCAGAATGCCCAAACTCTAACTGCTCACAGGCTGGGAACGGGATTTCTTGGTCCTTGTAGAATATTGGGACGATATGAAATAAAACCTCTATGAGTCCTAAACAAAGCAAATACAAGTCATTCTTTCTAATTTCAGGAGCTATCATGACCTCCAAGATGCCCAGGAAGAAGGGATGGCCTGCAGCTGGAACATAAGCAGGAAACTATCCACCAGTTTCTCATGGCACAAACAGATTCAGAGCATTGGAAATTTGGGGAAGAGAAAGTCTTATTAAGAGCTAAAGTTTATAACTCAATTAAAATATATAGTAAAAAACATTGATATAGTTTTATTTCAGGTTTTTTGTTTTTTGTTTGTTTTGACCTGGCTTATTTCTCAATCAGATCCAGGTGTTCCAATTCCTTCCTTTTTAGGGCTGTATTCTACACATTTTGGGTCTTGGGGATAAAAATATTGGCATTTAATAGGGGAAAATTGTCCACTATGCTGAGATGCTACCAAGTTTTTAGTGCCTGGAAATTTTATTCTTCATAAACTGTATCTAAATGCTTTGGGAAACATTCATTTTTGACATTTTTCTTACCCTTGTTCAGCTGACCCAGTTTTAAAATCATAAATTGCTAAAAAATATTATTTTCCATACCAGTTCTTGTACTCATCCCATACTTATTCTAAGAGGTGTTAAATCTGGAACATTTGCTTCTGTTTTATCTATTTATTCCCCCCTGGCTACTGAAAAAATTTTCCTTGCACTTATAGCATCCTAGCATGAAGTTCTAAATGCAAGAAGATTGTTGGATTTGAAGTCACAAAATAAAAGGATTCATGTTCATCCTCTATTCTCAAAGCAAAATATGTTTCCCTATTTCCTAAGATATTTGTGATTATTTAAAAGTAAAGATTGACGATCTGGATGCATCTCTATCCTTTTGAAAGAGGTATGACTCGCTTACTTTCTAAAATGCAGGTCAGTTTGGAAAGCAGCCCTTTCAGAGGCTAGAACGTGTGGCAATGGCCCCACAGCAAGCTCATTGCTCCTCCAGGTTAGATTGTCCCCTCCAGCCCAGCCTCTTCCTCTCTCCAGAGAACAATCTGTCAATGACTTTAGGCTGCAAGATGTTTGAAAGGAATAGACACACATGACGACAAGCAGAAAAAGTCTACTGCTATGCAAACCTGGATGGTCCCTGCTGTCCTAATGATAACATCACCTCACCAAAAAATCTTTAGGGATCCTCTGACATTGTTAAAAAAAAGACATACTTCCTTTGAAGGAAAGTAATGAATATTAGGTGTTCAAGCCCAACTGGAATTTCCCCCCTACATGTTCTATAACTAGAGGTGGATTCTAACCCAATTGCTTAGCTTTTTACATGGCAAATTAGCATTACGGCAAATGGGTCTCCTTTGAATTTGAGAAGCAGATAGCTAAATCTGTGGCCCATAATGGCATCCAAATTCAACTTTTCTGGAGGTATTATGAATTCTGTCTACTTTGCTAAGGTTTAAATAAATAAGGACACTATTTTAAAAGCTACTGTCAAATAATTGAAAACATTTTAATGGGGCTTTTGGCTTTTATTTATAACATATACTAAGCAATATGTAATTTCCCTCTGGATTAAAAAAACTTTCTTTATGTCAATTTTTTCTTTCTTATTTTGTGGGTTGAATGACTTGTTTTCAAAATATCAAAACAATTCCATGACATGGTTAGTTAACTAATGCTCCCCCTGTTGGTTTTAAGTGGAAATATGAGAATCTTACACATTGCTATTTTAAAAAGCCAAGTTTTCAAGAGAAAAATGGACTTTTTCTTATTTAAAATCTGTTCTCTACTAACTTTTAAAACACGTCAATTTGGACACACACAGTTCTTGGAAGTACTCCTCTTAGAAATCATGATGGGTGATATGCAACAGTCAATTAACCATCCAAGTCTACATTAAAACTTCCAGCAAAATATTTACTGAATTAAGGACACAGGAACAAATCACACTCACATATACTCCAGCTGCACTAACCCTACTAAACATCACCAAGAACTTATGGAAAAGTTCTCATTTAACCAAAAGTCTAAAATATATATGGGTAAAACCAATTTAGTCATTACAGAGCTATTTCCCTTGGAAGACTTCTCCTTTGCTGCACAGTTTTTGAAAATAAGTTGCTAAAAGAAAAATTGGTTAAATGAAAAGTAATTTTTAAACTAAAATAATCTATTTTTTTCTCTTTCACAATTCTAGTTTGGTGTTTCTGCTTTGTTTAAAGTTTTAATTTTCCCCCTTAAGTGTGTTAAAAATATGCCCAGCAATGCAACCACCTTTGGCATTTTTGTTAGGTTTAAGAATTCCTACAGTTGGGTTGGAATCCCCTCAGGACACTGTCTACAGATAGAAAAATCCCTATTATAATACCTTGATCAGGACCGAAGAGAGAAATCCCAATTAGGAAGAGAGAGTGGCACCTAGGATGATGCAATGGATTGGTGGCCTTTGAATGATGGATATTGGCATCTGGAAAGTGTGTTACTTTCTTGAAAACCTTTCCAAAAAGCAAGAGTTAATAAATCAGATAGAGAACGATCATCTTACTTTGCCCTCTCAACCACAGTGGAAATAGTCGGAAGGTAACATCTGAAAAGAAGAAAGTAATTTTGGCATCAAGGCTTTCTGCTCTGTCACAGGCTCTGCTATCACTGCTCTCTGTAGATGTGAAGGGTGAGGAGCTACCGCAGTTCTGTAAGCTCCTCCCCAGGCTGACCACAAAGGGAAAGAAGCCATTTGTCAAGACCTCTAATCTACTAGTGTTTCATCAAAGAAAACAGTAAAGTCCATGGAAATTCTAGAATCATTCAATCTCAATAAACTTTTAGAGAACCAAGAAATCTGTTTCTGAAAGTTAAAGTCCCTCCCATGAAAAAGAACAGAATTCTAAATGGATCAGTTGAAAAAAAAATCAGTGGAGCAACCTAAGCTTGCTAAAAGTCAAAGAACTACATATCAAAATACAAAGCAGCAGTTCAAATTACAGCAGGGATGGGTGGCCACAGAGGCCCTCATCAACCCAGGCAACACTTACAATAATAAAAATTAAGAAAAATTAAAAAAAATATGAAGAAAATATCCTTCCTCTCTTTCAAATATAACTTTAATTGCCTTTTATTCTTTCTATCTGGAAGCAGTATCGCTAACCTTAACAGTCTTGACTTACCAAAAAATATATATATATGTGTGTGAAATAAAATAAAAGAGAAGGGATTGGTGGCAGTGTATGCAAAACCAAAATGGAAAAAAAATTACTTTTAACAATCTCACTTTTTTTTTGTTTTTTTTTTTACACAAATACTGTTGTAAATATATTAAAAAAATCAGCATTCTATCTGGTAAACGTCACTTTTGCCCCTCTATAAAATTTTGAATTAAAAAAGCCTCAAGAACTTTTTATTATTCCCCCCACCCTCCATTTCTCTTTCTCTTCCACAAGAATATATCCTGACACTTTTTTTTTGTTTTTTTTTTGCAAAGATTGTTGGAAATAATCCTTCTCTTGTACCTAGAAACATAGGTGCAAACCTCTGATATCTTTGTTTTATCTGCATTCCTGCCTTTCATGAAAGTCCCTCTTGATTGTGCTGAGGCTGTGGCTCAGCAAAGACACTGAATAAATACGATAGCCACTGTTGCTTGATGCTTGTCCAAGTCTTCCTGGCTTCTGCTGAAAGGGGGGGCATGGAGGAGGTGGGCTGGGGTGTGTGGGCCCAAGCGGAATCTGGGGGAGAAGCCTGCCATTCCCCTTTCCCACATCACCAAACCCACTGCCCCTTCCCACCTCCACAGCCCTTTTATGAAATCAGACAACATGGTAGGTGGAAAACAGCAGGGCCTTTCCTCTGGGTTTTCAACCAGAAGTGATATTCCACAGTTTTAACTGGTTACTGTGAAGTCCAAGTGGCCAGAATTGTGAAAATGTCCACTGAAACACTGCAAGCGGTGTACTTAAAGACAGTCGGCCTTTTAGATTTCGGTATATATTTTTGTAGTGCTCTTCACAAGTGAAAAAAAAATTTTTTTTTAAATTTTTTAAAAAAGATTTTTTTTTTGTAAAGAAGGGTTGTATTTAGAGGCCAGTAGCTAGAGATCCAACCAGTGGACCCCTTGAAGCACTACCAGGCCTTAAGGCCACCATCCGAGGGAAGCCGGGAAAACTATTATTCACCCGAGCCTCCGGAAATGTAATGTACCAGCAGGCAAAAAACAGTTCTTCATGTAGTACAAAACGAAACGAAACAAAAACAAAAACAAGAAAGTAAAAATGAAACCAAAACATTTCTTAAATTCTAGTGCCATAGCTTTTTTTTGTTGTTTGTTTTTTGTTGTTGTTTTGTTCATAAGAAAGAGAGAAAGATATTACTTATCCGTCAGACACATGCATCCTCATGTGGTCGTTGAACTGCTCGATTTGGTCAAACTTTGCTGGACAGACGGAGCAGACGTAAGTGGTCCCCTCCGTGCAGGCCACCACACCTGGGGGGCCAGCGCGGGCTCCCGGGGCTGTGCCCGTGGGAGGGGTCCCGTTACTGGCACTGTGCAGGGCCACGTGTCGCTCCAGGAGGGTCTTATGGGAGAACTTTTTTTTGCAGATGTAGCACTCATAGGACTTCTCCCCCCGGTGGAGGCGCATGTGCACATTGAGCGAGCTCTTCTGGGTGAAGCGCTTGTTGCAGATGCTGCACTGGTATGCCCTCACTCCTGTGTGTGTCACCATGTGCTTGATAAGGTAATCCTTTAAGGAGAAGGAGCGCCAACAGATGCTGCATTGGTGGGGCTTCTCACCTGTTGAGGTGGGAACAGACAGCAGGCAGGACAGAGCGAGACATAGCGAGGGAGGGAGAAAGAGACAGAAAAACAAGACAACAAAAAACAAAAACAAAAAAATTAAAAAAATAGTCTGATTCATTAATGGATCCCTCTTGATTGGAAAGATCCAGTCCTTCCTGGCCTCTTGTGTGCTGAGAAACCTTGCTTTAAGGTGATGCCAGGGAAGTCTAGAGTTTCCTGTTTCCCTGTGTCAGAAATGGCTTTCTTGGAAAGCTACAAGACATTCCCCACTAAAAGTCTTCCAAGGTCATCCTGTGGAGAAAAGGAAGGGCTACTTTAAGGGGGTCATTTTCAGTGTCATTATTAGGGGATTTATATGTGTTTCCCATTAACATTATCAAAAAATATACGAACTAAGAGAGAGGGAAGATTTTTGGAGACATGGGGTTCTCTACAATCTTTGGGAACTAAGCACAGTGATCACGTAGCTCACCTCTCCATTTCCAGTATTCTATTCAGTAAACACGCTCGTGCCTTGATTTTAGGCCTGGCAAACATTGGCCAACACAGGAATAAGTCATTTGAAGAGCTAACTTTCAAGTTTATCTAGTTTAGATGGAAAGCTTCCTAAAACACAACTTAAGAGTTAATTGGCTCTTCTGTCTTGACTTCACTGAACTGCAGATAGGTCTCATCTGGTGTGGAGGTTGGGTAGGTGGTGAACAACACGATGCTCTCAAATGGTCCTGCTCCAATCCAGGCCCCAACATATGGCCCACCACTCTGACAAACCTCCCAATGCCTCTGAGGTACGCAGTCCTACTTACCTCACTGTGCTGGTGTTGACATAAAAAAAACACCACATGTGAAATCACTTTGCAGACCACCAAGAGTGGTGTGGGAATACTTGCACGGTATTCTTATTACAGCACTACCCTCCCTCTCTCCACTGCCCATTAAATGTTTCCATATGCTTTTTGTGAACTCTTGGGTCAATTTTAAAAATAGTTTTCTCCTTTACTCTCAGTCTGTTGGCTGGAACTCTTTCCCCTCAGTTCACTGCTTTGGTTTGCTGTTGACTTAAGAAACCAAACTATTGAGCATGTGAAAAACAGTAAGGTAAGTATGAGTATTGTCAATGAATGGCCACACGAGGTGTTCTGATCTAAGTAAAGTCCATAGACCTGTGACATCTCTTTGGATAAATAGGGACTTGTTTTTCTTGTTAGTACTGTTTGTTCTCAGCTCTGCTCTTGACAGGTGAGATGAACTACATTACGGTGTTTCCATCTCCCACATCATTTCTGATTGTCCACCTCAGAGAATAAAGTCCTTTTTCTCTTCCACAATCGAGCCGAAAGACCCCAAAGCCTTTGAAGTTCTTAAAGGTAATATTTTTTTTCTTTTTTTAAAATATATTTTTTTATTGATTTTTTACAGAGAGGAAGGGAGAGGGCTAGAGAGTTAGAAACACCAATGAGAGCTGAAACTGGTTTGGCTCAGTGGATAGAGCGTCGGCCTGCGGACTGAAAGGTCCCAGGTTCGATTCCGGTCAAGGGCATGTACCTGGGTTGTGGGCACATCTCCAGTGGGAGATGTGCAGGAGGCAGCTGGTCGATGTTTCTCTCTCATCGATGTTTCTAACTTTCTATCCCTCTCCCTTCCTCTCTGTAAAAAATCAATAAAAAAATATATTTTAAAAAAAGAAAAAAAATATTACCTTTAAGAACTTCAAAGGCTCCCTACTGGGGATGTGCCCGCAACCAAGATACATGCCCTTGACCGGAATTGAACCCGGGACCTTTCAGTCTGCAGGCCGACGTTCTATCCACTGAGCCAAACCAGTCAGGGCTAAAGGTAATATTTTAACATCTGGACAATGCATCAAGGTAGGGAATCTATGTCTTAAATTTGAGTTATCTTCAATTAAAATTTGCACCTCTGTGTTTCCATTTCCCCCCATTATGCGTCATAGTAATAATGGTGATGAAAACACTCACCATGTATTGGGTGCTTAATATGTGCCAGACTCAGTGTTGGTGCTTTATGCTCATGATCTGTTTTATGAAAGTTTATCCTACCAGACAGCTTCTTCATTGTGTTTGTAAGCATAAAAGGATATGTTTCAAAGCACACGATCGTAAGAAATGGCTGTTTTGTTCAGGAATTACTCCACAAATTTCTTAATTTCATGGACCTTTGCACTCTTTTTCCTTTACTTATTCACAAACATTTTGGCCTGCTGCCTGCTCTTCTCAACTCTCTTCTGATTGCCTTTCCCATTTTCTTAATGTTGGGACAGAATGATCCATAGGACCACAGGGTTAGAAGAGAAACATTTGTTTCACTTTTAGACTAAAATGAGGGAATTTCAGGAAGCCTCATTCCTAAATGAAGAGTTCTGCCTCAGCATGGTATTTATTTACATAGATACATTTTTTTGAAATGAGAGACTCTAGGGGGGAGAGTCATGCCTGTTATTTTTAGTTGAAATGTTTCTGTCAGCTGTAAACACGTTTGGAACTCCCGCTGGTCTTTGCCTTCCTGGAGCTCTCGGGACACTTTCTAGAGGCCATGACAGGCCAGCCAACTATCTTTAAAACACGTCCACCTGTCACCTTTCATGGGGCACACGCCTTCTTAGGTTCCAGATGGCATTTGGCTGCTAGGAAGTTAAAATTTTGTCTATGTTAAAGAGCTCTCACTCCTTGAAACTTTTACCTTCTAGTGTGTTTTTCCTCCAGGCAAGGTCACTGGTGAAGGCTTTTTACTTTCACACCCTTCTCATCTGCCTTTAAGTTGTTTCTTCACAGTTGTCAGCTTTCCTTTCATAGCACAGATCTGTATGTAGTTTGCATGCACTGAGTGTTGTTTTGGCAGTTAGTTACCTGTGCAACCCTGGGCTTTCCCAGTGTCTTCATCTCTCTGGGTGTGTCCCCCTTCTGAAAGTGAGGAGCAGGACGGAACCTCTGTCACAGTCCTTTGCAGATTTGGTGGCCACCGCGGTCCACCACCCCTGAGGACTCATCAGTGTATGACCTGAGCACAACCTGCTTAAATCCCTCAGTGCATCCGCAGTCCTGCATTTTAAATGGGGCAAAGTGTGCTGTTCCCTTCCCTGCCACAGAAAATGGTATCACAGTTAATGAGGAGACATGTTTGCAAAGTAAGCACTTGGGAGCCCCTTAGAGGAAAGGGACTGTCTTACTAAATGGGGTGTATTTTTAGAGTAGTCGGGTATCCACAAATTTCATTTCTATATGTTTGGATTTGAAACAATATCACTCAGTGGAAGTGGTAATATTTTTCCTTTCCATTATTTTCCTGCATGTTACTTATAGCAATCCCACAGGGGCTTTCAGCATTATATATGGCAGGGATGTGGTCTGCTGGCTGTTGCTTTGGGTGGAGAATTGAAGTTAAGATGAGTGGTGGTGGATGATTTTCCAGGCCAGAAATGGCAAGTCCGATTTGTTAGATTCAAAGCAAAAACAAAACAAAACAAAAAACCTAAAACACCACACCATGAAGTACAAAACAGACACTAGAATTATAATGTGAGGGGGAAGCTCACATAAGCCCCTTAGCTTTAAAATGATCCACTTTGAGGCTAATCAGATGTAGGAGTCAGATATGAATTCAATTTCCTTGGCTGGTGACTCGGGCATGTTACTTAACCTCTCTAAGCCTCAGTTTCCTTATCTGTAATTTGAGAATAATACAGTAAGTACCTGTCTTGTGAAGGTATTTTGAAAATTAAAGAGATAAGGCACTTAGCACAGAGTATGTGACCATTTTCAGAAAAATTCAAATGTTCCCTTTGGCACAAAGGAACTGACGATAAATGAACCCAGTGGAGAAACGGACTGGGTGGTGTGGGGAAGCCAACTCAGGATTTGGAAAACAATGTGTCAGATAGTCAATACTGCACTACGTAATTCAGAGTTAAAGGTATATAGACTATTCTCAGTTACTTATGCTCATGGAGAGAAGTGGTGCCATGAATAAAATGTCAGCAATTAGCACAGACAGAGGATTTCTTATCAAGCAACAACTGAGCTCTGGGGATGGAGAAACCAGACAGCAAGCAGAGGAATCGAGGTTGGGCTGGGGGGGCGGGGTGCAGTGTCCTTTACTAGTCTTTACTATTCCAACGATGGGAGGGTGGTGAATGCATAATTTTTTGATGCATGTTCTCTAAAGATCCACTTTTCAGCTCCTTCTCATGCACCAGCACTGACACTTACTTTACCACCACTGGGGAGGGAGTGAAAGAGAGAGAGAGAGAGAGAGAGAGGAAGAAAGATACCGTTAGGTTAATAGATGCAGAGAGTCTGCCCAAAGTTCAAGTAAAAGTTATCCTAATGGGCTCAGCCACCCCAATTCTGAATAGTGACCTCTATATTGGGGGCTCAACAAGAACCCATTTATTCTGCTAATTCTTTCTCATTCTAACTACGCTTTTCCTGGGCTGCAGAAAGGAAAGTGAACACTTTTCTGAGCACTGTTCCCACCTGTCTCTCTCATTCTCTAGGCTTCCCCATCATCTTCTCTGGCACAGCACCTCCTCAGATAAGCACCGTGAGAGGTCAGAAGACCAAACCTGGGTGCGTGGTGAGAGAGCGGGCATCAGGGAAGGTGGCTACGGGCAAGGAAAGCAGAGGGGTCCCTGAAATTACAGATCCTCTGAATGGGGAAAGTCAAGATTGGAGCAGAAAATGGGAAAGGTTCAGTGACAACATGGAAAGGTGCTCAGAGGGAATCATCCTTCACTGACTGCAGAGTCTGCTCTTTACTGAGAAGTCCAGTTGGTGATGGGCCTGCACACCTGAGGTGTAAACTGCCTGCCAGCCTTTCTCTCTAGTTCCGGGGTGCAACCCAGTGCCAGCTTGGTCTACGAAACTCTGCTGGGGGAGGGGCATTGCCTCTTGGGGACACACTGCATTCACAAAACATCAGTGGCTTTAATAATAACTAAAATATTTTGGTGTTAAGCAGAATTTTGAAGATCTCAG